ATATATGGGGGGAAAAACTTTGATAGAGAACGCTACCCGATCAAACTCGAACACAAGTACCAGTCACTAGATTGAAAATCGAAAAAAAAAAGAAGAAAGTTGACAAGTGGGACCCACTTGCCTACGTGGATGATGACATGGCATGAATTTGGACACACACCAAATTTTGGGATGTAAGAAAATAACCAAAAATTTGCTTACGTGTGCTTAGACAATAACCCCACCCCCCACCCCCACCCCTTTCACCTTCCTCTGTATCTGAGCTGTTCTCTCTACTTTCTCGGGTCGGAATTTAACCCGAATTAGACACCAAAATCTCTCTTTTCTCTATACTAGTGGACCAGATCCCTAATTCACTCAGACATGGCAAATCAACTGAAATTTTTGCTAATTTCATAGCAATTATACCTCATTTCTTTCATCAAAATTCAATCTTGCTGCTCAAGGTCTCTTTCTCTATCTCTATATCTTTTTGTTTTACTTTCTTGAACAAAAAACCCTAAATTTTAATTTGATTTTAATTTTTGAAAAAAGGGGTTCTAAATTGTGGGTTTTCAGATGTTTGTAGAACTTTATTCTCATCTAGGCTCACAATCTTAGTGACCCTTTTCGATTTTCTTGTGTTTAATTGTTGGGTTTTTGTTATTAATGTGACTTAGCCAGAAAAGATTACACCTTTCTTGGAATTGTTGGTTTAGGTTTTGGTTGTTGGTTATGTTAAATTATATGGGGTGTTTAATTGATTTTGTTCTGACCTGAGAAATGTTAGGGTTTCTGCTCAAATTTTAGCTGCTTGAATTGAGTGGAATAGTAGTAGAAGGTTGAGGGTTTTCATTTGAATTGATTTGAAAGGGAATCTTGTTTTCTTTTTTCAATTGGTATAGTGGGAAAGCTCGAGTCTTTTACCTCGTTTAGCTTGGAAATTGGAGCTTGTTGTAGTTATTTGTTTTTGTTGTTGGTTGAAGTTGAATTGCCATGGGGGATAGTACACCGAATACGATGAATCTTGATCTGAATTTGGGACCTGTTGAAAGTCCTACTGATGATTCAGAGTCTGTTCCTGCAACATTTCCCATTGAGGATATGAATTTAGAGGATTTGTTAGATGGTTATCGATTTAGGGAAGTGGTTAGGCAAAGGAGGAGCAGATGGCGGTCAGCTTTGAGAAACATTCCTGTTCCTGCAGAAGCTAGAAGTATTGCAATGGAGTTCATTGGTAGGAGTGAATCACAAACAGATGATGTTATTGCTGAGGAGAGGCCCTCGGAGGTGGAAAATACATGCGATAACAATAATGGGTATTCACATGACGAGATTCTGGGAAAAAAAGAAGACAGCGAAAAGGTTACTAGTGAGGAGGGGGGAGCTTCTTTGATTGCAATATATGTCTAGACTTGTCGAAAGAACCTGTTGTGACTTGTTGTGGTCACTTGTTTTGTTGGCCATGTCTTTATCGGTGGTTACATCTCCATTCAGATGCAAAGGAATGCCCTGTTTGTAAAGGGGAAGTGACTATGAAGAATGTAATCCCAATTTATGGACGTGGAACTAATGTGCGAGAGCCTGAAGAGGATTCAACTCTGAAAATCCCTCATAGGCCTCAAGCAAGGCGTGTGGAGAGCTGGAGACAGACTATTCAAAGGACAGCATTCACCATTCCAATGGAAGAAATGATTCGCCGTCTTGGCAGTAGATTTGATTTGTCTCAGCTACAACAGCAGAATTCTGAAGGTTCTCATGAATTACCTGAGCGAAGCAGCTCACTGCTCAACCGTATTCTTACTTCCAGGGGACGCAGAGAACAGAATCCTGTTCTGCCTTCTGATGACGTGGTTGACTTGACACAGACCAGTCCAACTAACTCTGATGTGTGGGAAACCCGTCGTCTTTCCTCTCTTTTACTCCGCAGATCAAATTCACATCGAGCTGCTAATTATGCCAATCTTGCTTCTGCCTTTGGTTCTGGTGGAAGGCTGGTTGAGCCATACTTCCGTAGTAATACTGTGGAGAGAAATCAGGAGCAGCCTCTACCAGTTGAAGATAGAGATTCTGTTTCGAGTATTGCTGCTGTTATACACTCAGAGAGTCAAACAGTGGATACTGCTGCTGAAATAGATTCTAGGGTCTCCCTTTCTACATCATCTTCCAGAAGAAGAAACGATGCTTCCAGAATTTCGGATGTGGATAGTGGAGATTCACGTGCACCTAGGAGGAGGAGGTTAAACTGATTTGCGTTCCTTCTTATCATGTTCGGCCTCCAAAGCACCCCCTTCCCCCCTCCATTACCCATATGTCATTGATACTTCTGAGTTTCTTTAGGTGTATCGGTAGGAAATGTACTCTTTTCCTTGAGTTTCATGATACCTTTTTCAGTTTACTGCTTAGTCTTCTACCATTAGTTTCGTTATCCGACAGGTCCAAGCTTTCCAGCTACAAGACATATGAAAAGAGGAAAAAAAAGTTGTTTAAAATAATCGTGCGAATTTGTCTTTTACCTCTGTAAATAACCATGCAAATGGTAGTTTTATTGGTATACCTTCTATTGATGTCGTCAATAAATTGAGATTTATCCATATATTCTTTCTTGTGGCTTACTTGATTTGGTATTTCTGTGAGCATTAAAATGGTGGTGTATAATGTGCCTTGTATCATTGTGGCTGCACTTAGTGCTAGATTGTACTCATGGAGATAGCAGAAATCATCTCATCTCTTGACACTCCTTTTTCCCAATATTTGGGAATTGTTGATATTGATAATGTTTTTGGATGTTACTATCTTAAGGATCACCTTCACAAGTGTAGGACCTCTCACCTCTTTATATACTTCAATAATTGAATTCTATGATGTTCTGCATCCCATAGTGTATGTTGCTTGGACTCTTTAAAAATGTCGTCACGTGTGTATCGAATCCTTCAAAATAGTGCATTCTTGGATGATCTGATAGAGATACTGCAGCAATTTTGGAGAGTCCGAGCTACAATATAGAGCTTAAGAGCTTTTTGGACTTCACAACAACAATGCATCAGTCCAAATTAGTCGGGTTCGGCTATATGAATCTTGACTGTTTCATTTAAGCTCAGCTCACGTTAAGCTTTTAATTTAAGATGTGAACAACATTCATTTTTTCTTTGTTTTTAGAAGCTTTCTGTTATCTTGCATTATTGAATACTAAGATTATTGCAGAATACTATGCCTTTAATCTTTTGTCTGTTTCATGATCTTTGATTGATCTCAAATTCTTACATGATGGCTGAAGCTTCCTACATATCTAGTTCTTTCATGTCACGAATCGAGATGTGGTGTATTGGTCAATGAAATGCGTTGAGAATCTTAATGTATCAATTCCTAACAATGGGGGCCAAAGTGAAGTATTTTACATCTTAAGCGAATCTTTGAAATGTAAGAGAAAAGTGAATATTTTTATAAGGTAAAGTACAAGTTTATACTATACATCCTCTTTTAAGTTCGATGATTGCGCAATTTGAGGAACAAATTCTTAGAATATGTTGGTCAAAACAGATAATATGTGTCATGAGATTGAGTTTCGCGATAAATATGATATCAGAATAGTACGATCGTGGGATAAAAACTCGCAATCATACTAAGTACCGAAGAGGGGTGTATTCAACACTCATAACGAAGGACAGACACAAGCTAATAAACTTTTAAATAAATATGCATATTATAACTTAGATGAATCTCATGTCAAAACAAGAAAAGAAAGTAAAGAGCTTTATACGGAATATTATAAATTTACATGATCGCTCAATAATGATATCAAAATAAACCATACGCGCATTGAATCGACACGATTTTAGTCCAAAAATGACACGTAATCTAAGATAAATTCATGAACGATTAACTGCATTAAATTGAATGGTCCCCTATGAAGTGATCAATTCAAATTGGACAATTGGTCCACTTTTTCTAAAATAGTTGAAGACAACCCATAAATAGCTATATACCATAAATATAGTCCAAAAATATTGTACTACTAATTTGTACGAGACATTTTCTTTAAAAAAATTCACCCAAAATAGGATTGTTTTTTTCAAAAGTAGTAGGATTTGCTCATATTTATTTAAATATTTTCCATATATAATGTCATTTTTTTCCTTCCCTGAAAAGGTGTACTTCAAAATAGTTTTGAAACACCAAAAAATCTACATTTTTACATGTTATTATTTTACAATGTTCAAGTTAACATACGAAAAACTAAATTCAATAAAACACACTTTCTTTATTCTTATCTATATGTCTATCATCTTAGATTTTACGTACATTAAAAAGACTAAATAAGTTTTACTATTCTACTCATTTTTGATGTTTTTAAGTCATATTTTCAATCTATTAACATGAATTAATTTACTTTGATTAATTAGCTTGACCAATGGACATGAATTATTTATTTAGTTTTTCTATATTGGTCAAATATATATTTTTAAGACTAATAACTCACAAAAGTAAAATAGAAAAAATAGTAATATTATTTATGCGTTGATTTTATAAAATAACAAATATGCCGAATATTTATTTTTAATGACACTATATAAATAGAAACAGAGAGAATAATATTTTATAAGAAGTCTTCATGATAAAGCTATTACATTTGGTTGACTTAACTTTTCCAGTGAATTTAATATGTTAACCTTGCAAAATAAGATGCTCATATAAAGTAAAATACTACAATAACTGGTTAAATTGTACTAAATGTAATTATTTATTTATTTTTTGTATAAATCTTAGAGAAAAAACATCCCATGTGAACAAGAAAAAAATAAACAGGATTAAAATATTTAAGAAATAGTTTAACTATCTTTTTCCTAAACAGTCCAACATGACAAGCTCTCTAATCAAACAACTAATTTTCACTGTCAAGCAGAGATGTCATGTGTAACATGGAACTTTTAATTAAATCCCTTAATTAAGCACAAAAATTAAGAAAAATGCTATGTCACAAACAACAATTTGGTATTAAAAAAAAAGTATACAAAACCATGATCCAAACATAATTAATCGTATAATTCATTAAATTATTCAAAATAAATAATGTAAATAATTTAAGAATATAATTTACATGATATGATACTATCATTAATTCATTCCACAGCTCGAACCAGTAACGTATAGATTACATGAAGACAACATTATTGTTGCTTCAAGGCTCCCCCTTAACGGAAAGAATGAGGGTAGCTTCTCAACTCTCGTTTTATATAGTCTATAAACATACTCTCCGATATTCTTGTATATATAATCGAGAAATTCACGAGGGTCAATGAGGCTTACTAGTGTGACACTCGATGAATAATGGACCCGACCCTCTACGACTTGTTGTAGTCTTGTTGTTTTTGATGTTGATTTACTAAAATCTTGGCATATAGCAACTCATTCCAAGCATCAGGTACACCAGGGAGACACCAATGACTACAATCTTGAAACAACAATGGAGATTTCTTCTCTTCAGTTGTAAATTTTTGTTTCCTATATACTGATGGATGACCATCTTTTCGAAAATCTGTCATTCTTGTGATGTTGAGATATGAGACTTGAGTTTTCATCCCTTTTAGAACTCTTTCTAAAACATTCATCTTTGATGGATATGGAGTTAGATATGTTGTGTTCTTGATTGGTTCTGTTTCATGGTCACAAGCTCCACCTGAATTCCATTGTCCGCCGCTGTGAAAAAAGAATTAGATAGTTTAAGCAAAACAATCGGAAACAACTTCTCTATCTCACAAAGGTAGGGGTAAGATTTGTGTACATCCTACCCTCACCAAATCCCGCTTGTGAGATTACACTAGGTATTATGTTGTTGTAATGATATAGTATAATAGGCAAAAGTTATGTTGCTCGAACTCGTTAAAAATGTTGTCAAGTGCCTCCAATGTAGTGCGTTGTTCAAGGATATGACACAGGTGCAACAACAACATTTTGTAGAGGACGCGCAACATAGGGCAATAAAAATTAATAGGTTATGGATGAACAAGTTAATTTCATGAATGGTCGTGCACACTACAAGAAAACTATGAATTACATGGGGATTTTCCTAGGAATTAGTTTTCCTATCCCTATGTAATTCACAGTTTTCTTGGAGTAGTTTAATTTTATCCGCGGTAACGGTAGAATCACAGAACTAATTTTTGTCACATTAAAGTAACTGAACTAGGGGTGTGGATTGCTCAAATGAGACAAATGGCCCAAAGGTTAAATTTCTGGCTCAAAATAATATTAAAAGAATATTTAACCTTCTAGTCATCATTTGAGCAATTAACACGTACTTTAACGCAACAAAAGATAGTTTTGTGACCATACTGTTATAGTGAATAAAGTTCAGTAACCGTAGGTGCAAACCAAGCGTGAAATTAACGGATGAATAACAACACTACTATAGAGAAGAGAACTCGAGTTATCGACAAGTAAATGTAATCTGGGATTTACCTAAAATGAGACGCAGAGTAACCTCTGAAGAGAACAAATGTTCTCTTAGGATTTACATGGGAATCAACCCATCTTCCCCATGTTGTTAAAGCCTTTCGAAATGCCTCAAGAACATCTAATTCGTTGTACACGTGACTTCCTTCTTGATAATAGTCCTTCCTGAAACGTGCAGCATTGTTTAATGTAAAATTATATTCTTTAAGCATAAACAACTATAGATTATACATATTGATTGAATAAACAAAAAACAATAAATCTTACCCCAATGAAGTTTTCTCGTGTGTCCACCAGTGGCCGGTGTTGAAGATTAAGATATCAGCATTTTTATATTTATCAGCAGACTGTCCGATTAAATCAAGTCGAAGTGTTTCCTTCTTCACTCCTTTTTTATCTGAATATTCCCATTCTTGAACCAAGAATGGAGATACAAAAAACTCCACTCTGAAATTATACTCCTGAATTATCGAAAAATTTAATGATGTCATTAGATTATGAACATATAGCGATTATACGAAGTCTAATAGTAGCTATGATGCTCGGACTCTTCAAAAATGTCTGTGACACGGGTACGGTATCTTACCTCAAATAGAAATGAATATGAAGCCTCAGTCCTAAAATGTTGTCTGCCAGATTCTTCATAAACCTTTTTCTGATCTTTAACAGAGTTTCTAAGAATGCAAACAAGGGATTCCCACATGTTTCTGTTGAGCGAATCACCGACAAATACCAATCGCTTTCCTCTCAATAATTCCAGCATATGAGTTCCATTCAATCTGTCAACAAATTCCAAAAATCAATTGTTAGGAAACTTCAAGAATACATATATTGATTTGATCTCAAAGAAGCAAAACAAGTACAAATAGCCTATTATAAGATTAATTTACAACGTAATCGATGAAAAAGATCAACCTTGAGATGAAGAAATCATGGTTTAATTAAAGAACTAGATCAAATCTTACACATAATGAACAAAAATGAAAAATGTCATATTCCATAAGCAATGGATTTTCTTGAATGATTGAAAACTGAAGAAGCATATGAACTCATCAACAACAACAACAACATATTCAGTCGCAAACAAGTTGAACTCGGCCTAATTGGAGCTCATAACAGCCACTACGCATCGGTCCAAACAAGTTGAGATCGGCTATATGAATCATCATTGCCTCATTTAAAGCTCAAACTCGTGCCAATTCGGAGTTCAAACAACAACAACAACTACACCTCAGTCCCGAACAAGTTTTGGGGTCATTTAAGCTCATAGATCAGATAAAATTATGGTTAGAATTAACTTGAGCATAAATATCAAAATATTACCTTGGAAGAGTACAACCATTTGGCTTCCATTTCATCTTCATATGATTGTTATCAGGTCTACCATTGAGAAAACAGTTAAATTGTTCATCAATCAAAGAACAAGAACCAGGCTTATACAAAGGATAAGACTCATCTTTCACCCAATTCCCATCAAAGAAATCACAATTCAACAAAGACTTAACCAAATCTTCATCCTTCTTCTTCTTTGTAGACACATCTAGATTTGTACCATCACTCTGGCTTTTCACAGATGAGGAAGTGAAATTACCCTTCACTCCCTTTTCTGCAATTTCCTTCTCTTTACTCTCACTACCAGATTTTGCTGTCTGATTCACACTTGCTGATGACTTCTCCAATGGATTTTTGCTCTGATTTGCCTTCAAATTTCCAACTTTATCATCAAAATCTTTACTTTTAGGCTGATTCTTTACACTTGATGATTCTTGATTCAACCCAGAAGAGGATTTTGGTGCTACTGCTGACACATTCACAGTAGGCTTCGAGGGGCTTTTCAAGACTCCATTTTTATCATCAAAATCCTTACTTTTTGACTGATTCTTCACACTAGATGATTCTTGATTCAACCCAGATGGAGATATTGATCCTACTGCTGACACATTCACAGATGGCTTCAAGGGGTTCTCCAAGACTCCATTTTTATCATCAAAACCCTTACTTTTAAACTGATCTTTCACATTTGATGATTCTTGATTCAACCCAGATGAAGATACTGGCGCTACTGCTGGCACATTCACAGAAGGCTTCAAGGGGGTTTCCAAGACTTCAACTTTATCATGTGAATCATTGTTTAGAGGCTCAGAATTAGAATTTTGGGATCTGGGGCTGGCAAAATTTTGAAGTTGCTGTGAGGAATTGGGGAAAAAGTAAGAATAAACTGAAGAGAAGTGAGATCTAGATGATTCATCAGAAAAAGTACTTCCACTACTAGAACTAGTACTACTGCTGCTTAAAGAGAAGATATTAGAGAACCATGGAGAAGAAGAGTTGGGTGAAGGACTAAAAGCCAAGAAAAAAGTAACAAGAATGAAAACAAACATGAACCCATATGCACAAGTAACACTTCTTTTGGTTTTAAGAAAAGAGAAGTGAGTTTTCAGGTCTGTAATCAGAGTTTTTCCACCATTAATTGGTGTATATTTTGCTGTATCAGCCATATCTGCTTAATGGGGTGTAAAAAAACAGAGTTTTTAGTGAGGAACACTATGTATTGATATAAGTTGAGATGTGGAAAACAAGAAGAGAGAAGAATGAAAAGCCTTGAGAAGTGAAAAAGGCAGTAAATGGCAATGAGAGAGAAAGAGGAAGAAGAAACTTTGTAAGTATGTATTAAAGCGTGTTGTGTGGAATGTGGACTCTCAAGTCTCAATGTGTGCTTCTAATAGAGAGAGTATGTGTTGTGAGAAAAAAAAAAATACTTTATACACTTTCTTGGTAGTTCATTAGGGAGATTAAAGATGGAATTGAACTTTTTTTTAAAAATTATAAATAATGTAACTATAAATCTCATGAAGAGTAGTTTGATTCTACATGAACGTTGGGGACAATACTTCAACACATCTTAGTTCAAATGGAGAATATGGAAAATAGTGTTTTTCGGTGATCGACGATTGAGTATTATTATGTAAGAATTTAGTTTTTTGAAAGTAACATTGTAAATGGCGCTAATACCTTGTAGACTAAGGAGCAAAAGGAGAAATTTATCACAGTTTACATTTCTTACGTGATTTATAAGTAAATTAAAAGTTGAGACATGAGATAAGAATTGTTTAAGATCATGTTCATTTTTGAAAAGTCTATGCAATAACTAGTGCATAAATAATATGGACTTCGTTTCAAATTAATTGAATTATTAAAATGTTTCGCACCATTTAAAAAAAAAAGAAGATTGACACATAGAGGAAATATAACTTTTCAATTTTACTCTTATTGATTATTATTAAATTTATAATTAAATTAATTGAAAATTAATTAACAACTGATTCCAATGCTAATTAATGAAGAGTAAAATTAAAAAAGTATTTAAAAATAATTTTAAAAATTAAAAATTAAATTAATTTATAAAATGAAAAATACCTTAACAGCTCAATTAACTTGAAATAAAAGAAAGTAATATGATATAAAGGTTCAAAAAAGTGAATAAATAAAATATTAAGATGAAAGTAATATGATTAAGGTTCAAAGAAGTGGGTAAATAAAATATTAAAATAAATTATGATTTTATATCATAATTTGAAAATGGAATTTGGGTCCAAGTGAACTTTAAAAGCTAATTGATAGACTAAGATGAGTATATTTATGATCAAAAAGCTTTATGTATTTATGTTTGTTCATTAAAGCTTGAGATAATTATATTTACTTTCGAGTTTAAATATTGATGAAATAATTATATTTATTTAAAAATATTTGTAAATTGTTTTAAAAATATATATTTAATTATAATATATGTCCAAATATAACTTAATCAACTTTAGAACGTACTCGTTTTAGCTTCTAACTTCAACCAACTTTGTACCAATGATTACTAATCAACAATGAATCAATACTACTAAATATGGATTAAACAAACAAAGCTACTTTAATTAAATTTGAAGTAAACAAGTTACTTCAAATAATACTCATAATTAACTCTTTAATAGGAAATATTTAATCTATCATACGTCGTCGTTAGTGGACTCAAAAGGTCAAATCTTAGTTCACCTTTTTTCAACTTTGTCAATGTTTAATTGACACTTTGGATTTGAAAATAACACTTGTTTTGAGTTTATTAGCAGGAATGCCACTGCCTTGGTATTGTCAGAGAGAATTTAGGAGATAAATAACAAACGAAGGAGATGTTGCCACGTGTAACATGAAGTACTTTTTTTTTCTTTTTGGGTAGAAACAACAAGTACTTTAAATAGAATGTTTGTCTTTTTACATTTTCACTAGTACAAGGTTAAAATGGATTACTTCGAAAATTTGTTAGATTTTGTAACAATTTGTAAATGAAATATTTATCACTTTATCACGATCTTTTATAATAGTATAGAATGATTGTTGATATATCAAACATTATGTCCCTAGGGCCATACTAGGAAAAATCAATTACTCATATGTTGTCGACTTAATTCTGTTACTAGAATAACATGTATGAATTTAAAATTTTAAGAGGTCATACAATATGTTAAGTATCAAAATTTATAATTTAATAATTTATTTATATATATATATCAACTCAAAATATATAACATAAACGAACGTATAAATTTCAAATTCTGATTTTTCTTTTTAATATCAACCATATATAGGAGAATGCATGCATCTCATATTTATAGTGTTTGATTGTAGAGTTCAAACATTTTATATTCATTCACAGGAAAGGAAAAAAAATATGAATTTCTTTTGTTTTTCGTAAACCATCTAATTGAATAATTTTAATATGAAATTTTAATTACAGTTCTCTCTATTCAGTATTGTTTGTCATGATTTCTATTTTTATAGTCAAATTATATAAATTTTGGTTAATATTTTAAGATGTATTTTTTCATCATATTAATTACAAAAAATGATAATTTATAGAACTTTTCATATAGTTTTAGAATATCTAATTTTTTTGTTTGAGATATTGAATTAATGTGATTTAATTTACCTTTAAAAATTAATCATAACATGACAAATAATTTTGAACGGAGAGAGTATTATTCAAAAAATAAAAGAACGAAGAGAGAGACGTTTGAATAATATCAACCTCTTATAATTGAGGAAATAAATGACCAATGGAAAAAAGGGCTATAATTTCATTAAAGTCTTGACTTCCTATTTGCCAACCACTTTTTGTCCACCGACTAAATATTTCATCGAATATTAAGCTCTAGTTTCGTCATGAAGATTAAAAGTAGATTTTTTTTTATTTTTTTGAGAAAATATTGATTATTATTTGTTCATGGGATTTAGTCAAATTTTAAAAGTTCATCTTAAAAAGAAAATCTTATATTGATCTAAATTTAGTAGAATATATATTCAAATTTAGTCTCAAAGTTAAAAAAAGGCAATTATTTTTCAACACAACTTTAAGTGTAATATTTTCAATTTAAATAAATGTCATAAAACGCTAGCTAATTTCATTCAAAATTTTCATTTAATGAAAATAAAATAAAATTAGATGACTTCAATAGAAAGAAGACGAAATGCTGAGATAATTTTAAGTTCTGTCACACACTTTTTGTAATATGAAAATTGAATAGAACAACATGGACTTTTAATCAATTGCCCTATGATTCCTCTATACCCTACTATTACTTTTTTTTTTCCGATTATATTTGCATTTTGAGGTTTAATTAATTTACCGTCACGCTGGCAAAGTTTCACTTTGAGATAAAGTTTAAAATAACATTCTGAACTCGAAATTGATATCTCTAAATTAAAAAAAAGTACTTATCATTTCACTACGGTGATAAATAAACTAAAATGATCAAGTGTGCTTCCTTATTTTGATAGGCTTTATATCAATTATCAGCCCACTCCATGTTGGGTTGCCCAAAACTCAAATATGCTGATGGGCTTTCACTCCATGTTGGGTTGCCCAAAACTCAAATATGCTGATGGGCTTTTAAATTAATGGGCCCAATAAGAATTACATAGGATTCGAGTGAAAGGATGATTTACAAGAAGGAAATGTTTCACATATAGCCACTTAAAAAAAATTAATTACTCTTCATAGCTATAGTTTGATAATTACAATTTGTAACTATATGTTCTATGGAGGAGAAAGGCGAGCGAGACTGGGAGAAAGAGGAAAGAGGCGAGCGAGACTGGGAGAGAGAAGAGAGGCGAGATAGAGGGGGAAAAGAGTGGGAGAAAAGTGAATTGTATATGTATATTGGTTAGATAATTGTATAATATGCATATATATTTGTATATATGGAAAGAGAGATTGGGAGAGGGAGAGAGGTGAGTGAGACTGGGAGAGGGAGGAGAGAGGCGAGCGAAATTGATAGAGAGAGGGCATAGAGTGGGAGAAAGGTGAATTGTATAGGTATATAATTGTATTAAACTGTATATTATACATATACATTTATATAAATGGCAAGCGAGATTGGGAGAGGGAGGAGAGAGGCGAGGGAGAGAGGACAGAGAGTGGGAGAGAGGTGAATTGTATATGTATATAGGTTAAAAAATTGTATACTATACATATTTATTTGTATATCCTGGCGAATTATACATATACAAACATAACAAATTATACAAACTCGAAGTCAGCCAACATAATTAATGTATAATGTTTGTCGCGAGTGGTGATTATAGCAATCTATAGCTATGATGAGTAATTAAATAGTATAAATTTGCCTAGCCACATAATTTTCTCTTACAAGAATGACCTTGAAGATCGGCAATATTAAAATTTTGTCCCCGTTTCTCTTGCCTAATGAACAAAACTTCGAGGTCAACAAGTTTTTCCTTTTGAACTTGATGCAAATGGATATCGAAAGCTTAAGACCATCAATTTTCAAGATTATCATATGTAATTTCTTGTGGAGTAAGGCGTATCAAGCCTACGAAGGAGGAATATCTTTCTGTTTTATATACGATATTCGATATGCAATCACATTTAGAAGAAAAAGAACTATTAGTTACTTAAGCAAATTACAAGAAAATAAATAGATCAAAACTCGAATTAGATTATGATCTACTGGTTAGCCCATTTTGATATAACTCATTTCAGTTTAAGTAACTTTTAACCGAGTTACTGATCCTCTCATTAATTATATCATTGATGTTCAAATTCAACCTAACCCGTCTATTTCCCGCCGTATAATATAGTTTCCACATGGAAAAAGGGTCAAAGGAAAAGCTACTCTACTACAAGGTGGGGACCAAATGGTCTTTTTTTCCTTTTAACAAAATTCCAATACACTACAAGGATAAGTGGATAAGCTTTACCTTCAAGCAATAAAATCAAGAATGCAACAAGTTTGTACCTTTGACAAAATATCTACTTGTAAATTAAAAAAGAATGAGGAAAAAAACCTCACACACCCAAATATCTAATCCTTTTTTATACAGTCACCTCTTTTCAAGTACCAAAAACTTCTAAAAAATGTCTATTTTAGCACCAAATTCCCAAATTTTGTACAGAGAAATCTACAATAGGGAGAATCAGCATCTGTTTTTGAACAGTGGAGGGAATGTTAATATTGTAAAATCATATGGATTTTGTTTTGTTGATAAAAGAAGAGGTGATTGGAAGAAGAAAATGAAAAGGGAGTTAAGAATTCATGCCTCTTGGCCAGATTTGTCAAGACCAGCTGCTGTTGAGATGCAACCAATTGAGAGTAGTGAACAACTTGATCAGATTTTAGACTCTGCTAAAGAGCTTTCACAACCTGT